ACTTCACCGTTGCAATATTTAAAATAAAAAATGAAGTTAATTTTATTAAAACATTGCACTGACCGCTTAAGTGCGTTATTTGCTGCAATTTGTAGTTTCTCTTACCTCCGCCATAGTTGTTCTAGGTTCTGTGAAGCCAGCGATAATGAGTAGAGCTACACTAGTCTGTGGTGAATACTACAAAATAAAAGTCATGTCGCGACCCAAACACTGCGCAAAGGTGACAAGCACAACTGGAATATTTGAAGAGTTTATTTGCAAAAACAGATAATTCCGTTTTTTTATTTTATTTTTAAAAATCATGTTTTTTTATTATGTTATCATGTTTTTATTGTATTTTATTGTGTTAGCTGTATTTTTTAACTAATCAAAATTGCGATTAATTGGAATGCACAATGAAAAAACATGATTAAAAATATTTATGTTTTTGCAAATGAACTCTTTTATATCTATATATATATGCACATAAACTCATTTTGATTAAGAAAAAAAATAACAACATGTATTTGTTTTATTTTTAACTCAACTTACTAATAAAATTGTATTTTTTAAGAGTTGTCAAACTGTAATGAAGTTATTATATTTACCTGAGACAGATGGAAAGCCAGTTCTTTGAACGGATGGGTTTCTTCATTCCTTGTTGCCACTTTCTCATGAAGTAGTTCTAAAAGTTCAAGGGTTAGCCTGAAGTAGCTCTTGAACCTGAGAGGGTCGTTGTTCTTGAATCAAATGAAGACAGTCTCCCTGCTCTTCTCGGTTAAGGAGTAGTTCATGTACACATTTTGTCCTCCTTTTTCTTATGATCAAGAAGGCTCCCACAGAAGCCTGTGACCTGGCCGCATGATCCAGGAAGCATGAAGTCGAAAACAGGCTATCATACCGGCTGGACACCATATCGAATGAAGTAAACACTGCAAGTCGAGCACCCGGTTTCTGAATCCAACAGAGGGGGGTGCTCACAGAGGACCTACCCTAGAAAAAGAACAGAAACTCACAGGTCCCGGAAAACACTGCAAAGAAAGCTAGCAGATGGATTATACACACAACCACCAGCGCATTAAATAC